ATTCAACCGTTGACGATTGGGTTGGTGAGTGTGGCAGGGTGCGAGACCCTGAATGATATGATTTCTAGAACTCGAGAGCAGGAATTGATTTGGAGCACATTGGGAAGAGGGGATTAGATCAGGTGCATACATTGGAGGGTCCCGGAAAGGGACCCAAGAGTTCGAGTCAGCTTTTGAGAGGCCAACAGGGCCGGATTCAATACAGTTCTTGCGAGAAACTACACGAGGGAGTTTTCGTTTCGAGGGTTTTAGTAAGTGTATCTCTAGGTTTGTTACCCTACTTGAGTTGGATTATACATTCAAACATTGTCATATGCCAATTGCATACCGTGAGTTACGGGGTGGTTAGTGAAAGGTTGTATCATTCTTTGCTGGTTTGGAGCGTTCAATGTTATCTAGGTCTATGGTTGAGATCAGTTCAGGGACATCATGCGGAAGGTCTACGGACAGGATTAGTGACTCAGCCATTATGCTTGGGTCGGCTTTTGGAAGTGCTAGGGGAAGTGGTTTACTGTTGAGGCTTTGGTCTGGGCATCGGTTATTTGGACATCAAGATATAGGTGCGGCATCATTTCAAAGCGTCTGAGGTTATTAGTTTTGCTAGGATTCGGGAGGTGTTTGTCTGATCTTCAGGGATTGTGTGGTCTTTGGGGGTTTGGGCCTGTAATAGAACACTCGCACGGAGACGAAACATGCTGTCAGCAGTTGGTTATTAAAGAGTAAGAAGGATCGGGAATCCTTAAAATCTCATGTATTGCGAAGACTTAGTCGAATCTAAGTGGGGGAGAATCGCGCAGGTATTCAGGACAGGGACAGGTATGAGACCGAGATGGGCTTCTCGTCCTCATCGAGGGAAAATTGCGGCCCAAGTGGTTATTGGGTTTGAGGGTTGTGCGGGTTTAGAGTTCGGTAAAACTCTCCAGCGTGTGAACCGCGTCTTCTTGGGGGCTTGATAGTAGAATTTGGGAAACCAGGTTGGGACTCCAGTCACGAGTTGAGTTCAGTTCGGGTGATCAGTCAAGTGTGTGATTGACTCCGCATGCATTTGAATCGATAGATTAGGGGTAAGGTATTGGGCTACGGTTGTGTTAGGATGAAAGTGTTGTAAGACTACGGGGGAGCCGTAGCATTCACTAATGGCTAGTTGGTATGGAAGTGTTGTAAGACTACGGGGGAGCCGTAGCATTCACTAATGGTCAGTTGGTATGTAAGTGTTATAAGACTACGGGGGAGCCGTAGCATTCACTCATGGTCAGCAGGGTGAAAGTGTTGTAAGACTACGGGGGAGCCGTAGCATTCACTAGTAGTTAGATAGTGTGGAAAGTGTTGTAAGATTACGGGGGAGCCGTAGCATTCACAACGGCCAGATAGTGTAGGAGATACAGACAGACTGCAAGGTAGCTGTGACATTCACGGATTCGTTCAGATGACATAGGCCGGTGTGGGCCAGTTCGCAAGGTTGTGATTAGGTCACAACATAATTAAATAAGGAAACGGTAGGTCAAAGGAGACCAGGCATGATGTAAGACTACAATTATTCTGGTAGCATTCACCTTTTGCGTCAGATTCAGCAGCGACAGATTGTCAGCCTATCATGATCGGATGGATCAGAAGGATTAGATGAGCCATGAGTGGCGGTATAGTTAGAGCAGTTATTTTCGGAAGAGGTATCCTTCAGAGGTCGCTTGGGACTGTTGAATGTGTTTTGGCTCAACAATCGGTTAGATGTCCGTTGTTTCGAGGGATTATCTGAGCTTCGGTCAGATATAAGTATATTGCAGGGAAATTTGGTCTATGACTCTATTTTCTATTGAGAACCTCAGATTATCAAAAGTTGCATAGCTAGTTGGGAGATAAGTGTAATGAATTCGACAATGATTCAGTGCAGGCGGTCTGTCAGGGAGACAGACCCTCTCTAGACAGTGGAATTTGGACGAAATAGATGTGATCTTGTTGCAGGAAATTTGTTCATCTTCAGGTTCTAGAACCTTGCGAAGGTTGGTCTCAGTTACCCTGGGAAGGATAGGGTGTACCCAGGATTGTGACCATGCCGCCCAAGTTTTCGGGTGTGTAAGGGATGATAAGGAATGATTTCGAGGACGAATCTAATTCAAGTGGGGGAGAGTTGTAACATTCTGTTTATTTAATAAAAAAATATATAAAAATTGATGAACGAATAGTCACACTAAATCTATATTAATTAGTGGATTATTGGTTTCGGGGAGCCAAATGATATATTTTAGACTTTCGAGGGTTAAAGTGTAATTTCGGGATTCATGTTGTGAAGGATTTTGAAGACAGGGGCTGCTTGGTAATTATTAGGACTTAAATTGAAAGGATTTGAAGGCTTAAGGGGGCTGATTGGTAATTTCAGGACTTGATTGTAAGGATTTTCAGAAGGAGGGGTTGAACTGCTAAATTAAGGATTTATTTTGAAAGAAATGGGGGAAGGAGGGACTATTTACGTTATTATGGGATTATGTTTGAGAACCGGGTATATAACCCGTGCTATCCCCGTCACCTTGCAACCCTAACCCTAAATCTGATGCAGCCGCCACCCCTAACCTTCGGCCGCTACCACCCTTTCACTCACGTTTTCCCGGTCAGCAAGGCCACTAGCGACATTTTCTACGAACGGAGACATCGAGGGCTGCCAGGAACGTAACCATCATCCAGGAGATCCACCGAAGGCTGGAGGCGGAACGAGAGTGAAGGTGGGTCGTGGACCACCGGGTTGCTGTTGTCGTGTGCCGAAGTCGTTGAAGACCGTCGTTGTTCCCTATCGTCGAAGTCATCCAGCCGCTGCCTCCTTGGCTGTTGAAACCGGAGAACCACCGTTAGGGCGTCGTCAGTCGGGACGTCGTCATTCATGTCGTCGTTGATGTTGCTCACGATTCGTTGTACGCCGGATACCATGAGAAGAGTGTTGAGTCGGTATTGTGGTCGTGGGAGGGGCCGATCGGACTTGCTGCGGTTGGGTTTCGTTGTGGCTGTCTGCCGCCGCCGTAAGCCGTTAGCTGCCGCCGTTAGTCATTATTATGGCCACTAGGGCTACTGTTGCAATCATTATGCGCGACCAGGTGGGTGGCTGGGCTTATCTCGCAAAGAGAAGAGTATGTGTGTCGTGTGTGTGTGGTTGTCTTGGCCAGAGTCACAGGAGGGCCACCACCACCACAGTGAGGTGGTGGCTGCCACTCTCTACCACCTTCTGCCGCCACAAGATGGTTGTGGGTGTAATTATTGGAAGTTTATTTTGGGCCATTGTGTGTATTATTGTAATTTGTAACCGGAATAATAATAATAATAAGCTTATAACCACCACCGTGAGGTGGTGGCTGTCGCCTCCTTCCGCCACCAGCCGTCGTGTTGGGTGGCGGTGTGCTTGTCGTGTTTGATTCGTTGGGATGTTTGGACAAAGGGCCTAAAACCCTAATGGGCCCAATGAAGCCCTAATTGACCTAAAAGCCCAAACATTTGACTAATGGACCTAATGAAACCCTAATGGGCCTAATGAACCCTAATTGATCAAAAGACCTAGCTATTGGGCCTATTGGGCTAAGATTGGGTTGGAAACCCTAATTAAGGTTTGGAAAACCCTAATTTTGGGACTATTGGTTTGGACTTATCGAGACCTACATTTTGGACCATTGGAGTGAAGTGATGACTCAAGCCCGATTTCATTGTATGTTTGGACTTAATGGATTAAGTCCTTAATGGGTTAAGCAGGAACACTTAACCCTAATCGTCATTTTATGTGAAATCCCCTAATTGGGTTTGGATGCTTGTTGGGCCACTTATGGGACTAAGCTGTTTTGGGCCTTTGTAGGCCAATTAGGAACACATTTATGGACTAAGGGAAATTATTGGGCCTTGAGGATTATTAGCCATTGGGCCATCAGAATGCCAATTGTTTGGACTGTACTAAATGGTTGGGCCTTAGAATAAGACCATGTAAAGGTTTGGGCCCAATTCGGAAAATTGGGCCATATGTTGGGCTTTGATACCTAGTTTGACTTTTGGGCCTTGGGCTTGAATCAAGCCAAGATGGGTTAATGTAGCCTGCTACTCCAAGAACTTATGGTTATGTGTTAGGACCTAATTATTAATTGGGTGTCATTTTGATGTTGACAATTCGGGAACCTGTCAACCAGCAGCTAGAGTTTTATCCGTGGGACTTCAGCAGTGCGAGGTGAGTCTTCTCACCATACTAATGGGTCTAAGGCACCAAGGCCGGCCCATTTTATGATAGTTGGTATACTTGTTGTGTAGAGGTGTGTAGTATATTTATGTCGTGATATGTGGTAGAGATAGCCCGTATGGTTAATGGTAGAGATAGCCTTTATGGCTAATGGTAGAGATAGCATTTATGGCTAATGGTAGAGATAGTCTATATGGCTAATGGTAGAGATAGCCTATATTGCTAATGGTAGAGATATCCTTTATGGATAATGGTAGAAGTAGCTTTTATAGCTAGTATGATATGTGATATGTGGTAGAGATAGCTTTTATAACTAATATGGTATGTGCTATGTTGTAGAGATAGCTTTTATAGCTAGTATGATATGTGTTATGTGGATTGTGTGTGGGGTATGCTCTAGGGAACTCACTAAGCTTTATGCTTACGGTTTACAGTTTTGGTTTCAGGTATCATCGATTTGGAAGAGGAGGGCTCAGGTTGATCGCAGTGCACGCACACCTATGGTTTCCGCAATGAATGATTTTGGGATAAACTCTGATAAATGTTTTACTTAATAATGATTTGAAATAAGTGGTATCAATGTTTTAGCTGTATAAAAAATGAAATTTTTACCCTTGATTTTTTGGTTGTTACATATTCCTTATAATAGAGAACAAGATGCGCTGATCAAATGTGTTTATCTGATCAAGACTCCTGATTTTTGAAGTGAGGCATTTGCCAAGAACACTAGTGAGAAATTTCCAGGTGGTGGGAAGGTGCAGACGAAGGACGTTGTAGTTCTTTTGCTTCTTGATGTTGTAATTTAATTTTTTAGTATGATATGACATTCTTCAGAGAAAGGAGTAGGTAAGTATTCATCTTTAACTAGAAGACGTAACACTCTTCGGACATCGTTCACAGATATTGAGACAGTGTGCTGACCATCTCTTATTGTCCCAATAATTACACTATCATTGCGGTAAGTAGAAGTGTAGTTGAACTCATAGACATTGTGAGGAAGAAACGAATCAACGATATCAGCAAGATCGTAACGAAGTGGACAAGTAGTAAGATAAGCAACAAAATCTTCAAATCCCACGTTCTCATATTTTTTAAGGATTTCAGGAGAGAAGGAAACGTTTTTGGGCATGATGACAACATGAGAATTAGGAGTTCCATCCGCTTTAATGGCGTTTGGAGTTAAAAAAAATATGTGTAAAGAACGGAGTGAGGAGCCGTGTAGATCGTAATTTGAGTTCTTGAAAGTTGAGAGCTTTTGATGATTGTTCGAAAATGTAAGGTGCCGATAATGACATAAAACCCTTTTACACCTCATATAAAACCGTTGTGAAACAATCATGAGATAGATAAAAATTCTCCCCAAATCTCGTAGTAATCTAGGTATGACGCAAATCCCTAAATTTAAAAAGTTACCGTTCAACCCAACGGCAAGAAAAGTTACCGTTTAAGATAACTATAAGCAAACTGATGAGTGACATTCAGTGTGAGAATATCATCTATGGCAAACCAATAGTATCAGCATCAGTGTATGATATGCAGCGGAATAATGGTAGTGATATTTGTGTATCACACTAGTGTGTTGTTCCACTAGTAGATCATTTACATAGTGTTACAAAGTCTCATCAACGTATTGTTTCATACGCTGAATCATTAACAACTTTTTTTCATAAGAAATAATTTGGAGAGAATGGTATGATGCGTGTAATATATTTGGTATGAAATGTTTCCATCAACATAGAGTGTCGAAGTTTTATAAGCGTATGGCTAATACAGTGAATCATCAACTTCTTTGTTAGAAGCTTTGTAGGGTGAGAGTAGGTAGGTGCGGGTAATATACCACGGTACATGATATGTCCATCGGCACATATTTTTCAATCTTTCATCAGTGTATGGTATTTGATACTGAATCATAAAGCTTTTAAGAAGAATTAAAGGGAAAAAAAGTATTGGTGTGTGTGACAGACTATGGTACATAGTCTAACCATTGGCACATACTTTTGAATTTTTCATTCGTGTGTGATATTTCACAGTGACTCATCAAATCCTTTATATTAGAAGACTTGGAAATGAGAGAAGGAATGCCTCAATCACACTGAGGTGAAATCAGTGTGAATCATAGACACTGTCTAGCTCATCAACAGGAAGTGGTTTATCTTCCAATATCATAAAGTTAAGTTGTAGGCTAGAATCAAAAATTCACCATCAATTTCTAAAAGTGGTATAGGACAAAAAGATAAAAAGAAAACAAAAAGAATTAGTGAAACAAGGAAACTTTCAAAGAGAGAAACATGCATGCATTTTCAGAAAAGTCATAAAGACTGGATCTGGAGAATCCTTTGAATTAAATGGTTATTAATGACTTTCTTTCTTCCAAGATATCTACCACTCAACATTTTTCTATAAAGAGAGAGAAAACACAAAAAATACATATCAAATATAGATCAAAAACACAGGAAGAGAGAAATGTCCTTATTCTTTGAAGTATTTTTGATGGATTCTAAGCTTCATATTCATCATGATTAGAGGGAGTCCAATAAGAAACAGTCTTTGTAACCATAAAGTTAGGGGGTTACAATCTTTGTAACCTTCAAGTTATGAAAGTCAGCAGGAGAATACTCGAAGAAACAAAGAGTTGTCAACCGAGAAAAGAGAGACAGGGAGCATTCCCTTGATATGTGTTCTTTGGATCTCAGATGGGGATTGGTGTAGTAGTGAGAGTGTCTCTAGAAATTAATATTTTCATGCTCACTGGCTTCACCTATCCTCATTACAACATAAATAGGCTACAAGAGAGGGCAAGAAGAGCACCCAGAACACACAATTAAGACACACTTCTTTCTTATCTTGTGTCGGATGTAAGATGCTCAGTGCCAGCCACCCTAACCATCATCTTTATACTGAAGGTAGTAGGCATTGAAGAAAATATGCAGAGCCAAGCTCAATCATAAGATCTTGCAACAAATGGAGTGCAAGGTTAGAAGAGTTGGTCTCTTCTTTGAAGAAAAGAAAGCATCCAATGTATACTCATTTGGTAAAACGAAAGTGAAAATATTATATTTTTCTTGAAGAAAAATTCTCATGTTTTTGTAATTTTTTAAGGTAAAGTAGTAACACACCAAAAGCGAAAATCGAAACAGTAATTTTTTATCAAACAAACATCACATTAAACATACAAATATTATTCTTTCTGATTGTAGTGAGCAAGACAGAATTCCTTGAGTCTGCAATATTTCCCTCCTCTTTGCTGAAGACAACCTTATAACCAGTATCACAAAGTTGACTGATAGAAATGATGTTATATCTTAGACCTGAGACATAAGAAACATCATTGAAATTCACTGATTTGTACTAAATCGATCCAAATCCCATAATCCTTCCCTTTTGATTATCTCCAAAATTCACAAAAGGGCCATCCTTTTTGACAAAATCATTTAGGAGATATTTGCATCCTGTCATGTGCTTTAAGCACCTAGTGTCTAGATACCGAGCATGCTCTTGACCTTGTAAAGCTAAGAAACAAATTAGGACATACTGTCCCATTTTTCAGAGGGTTTATTAAAGATGTTATAATGTAAAGAAGGAAGAAAGTTTAAAGAATTATCCTTTTTAATCCGTTTCTCATTTCTTACGTGAATATTGCCAATTCTCTAGAATTTTCATCAAAAGTTCATTCACTGATCTTATGAGACATGTCTCCGCAACGATAACATATCCTAATCTCATGTTTTTTATTTCTATTTTTAGGCAATTTGGTTTCCAGTGAGACAATATCTTTTTTGTGAAAATCATGAATTTTAGAGCAAGTTTTTGAGATAAGGGACTTGTCAGAGAGACAGCAAATGAGGAGACTTGTGACACTGATTCACACAAAGATTTATCGGTTTCATGATAAATGGAGGACTCAGTGTCATAGCTACTAACAATGCATTCTGGTGACTCACTGAGAATCTCATGTGTGGAGTGAACCTCTCCATTGGATATGGGAAATTTAAGATACATTTCAATGGTTGGAGTAGGTATATCAACGACAGGATTTTTTATGGTGAGGTCCAAAACAGTTAGACAAGTAGTATAAACAGTAATACCATTAGTGTTAGTTGTGAAGTGCTTATCATTGAGAGATTGATTAATAAAAAAATGAGTAAAAATATGCTCTTAAATTTTCCTTGAGATCATTGAGAGAGAGGAAGTATGATTCAGTTTCGATATGTTTAAAAATGTTACAAGCTTCATCGATGTCTCCACCAAGAATTTTCTCACATTGATCAAGAATCTACGCATCTATTATTTTATTTAACTTTAGATAAGAATGAACCCAATTATTCATTATGTATTGAAGTTTATTAGAGTGTGCTTCAACTCGATCTTTTTTTGAAGGAATATCAGTTTTAGTGAATGATAAGTTAGTGACTTTAGTTTTGGCTAAGGCAAGAGTCCTTTTAATGTCTGTCAAGTCGTTCACAAGAGTGTCAATTTCAACTCTAAGACTATGTTTTTTTCATTAACCTTGGAGAGATGATGACACAAGTAACTAAACATCATGCATTTATCATTGTCAGGATAAGTAATGAACTTGTTTACCTGATACAGAGACGAAGAATCCCAATCTGAATGATTTGCGTCCTTTGCAGCTTTAGCCAGATCATCTTTAAAGGAGCTACATCCACTTTCTTTGTTAGTGATCAAATCTTCATTGTAAGTCATCAGACACTTATCCTTACCTTTATCTTCATCAGATGATTCTTCTTCAGACACCCATTTTTCTGTTTTAGCAACTAAAACTTTGACGTCAATGTTTTTCATTTTAAAGAGGCCAACAACTTCTTGTACTTTACTTGATAGTCTTCATCAGTGTCAACCTTCTTTGATTTGCAATCTCTTGCAAAGTGATCAACACCTGTATAGTTGAACCACTTGAAACTTTTCTTCTCAGAATTAGTTTTCTTTTCATCGTCAAAACTTTAGACGTGGATGAGTCAGTCTTAGCTTGATACCTTTTAAGTCCAGATGGCTTGTTGTCGTTCTTGCTAATGTAGCGTTTAACAATCAAGTCTTCGCTTTAAAATTCGCCAGAGAAGTCATTTTCGCTTTCTTGAGACTTCTTGGAATATAAAGCAAAAAATGTGTCTCTGTGGGTATCGAACATGATCCCCTTCTGCAAGATCTTTGTTTCTTCATGGTTTCGAAGATTACCAAAAAGAGAAGCTAAATCCATGGTTGCAATTTTTTCATTGTTCTTTAAAACATCAACATGATGTTCCTAACTATCATTCAGTGAATCAAGAAACTTAAGAACCAAAGATTTTATGGTCATGCTCATATTTAGATGACGCATGTCATTCACCAGACAGTTAAATATGTTAAATACATGAGTGTTTCATTTTTTTGTTGAATAAAGTGCTCATATCATCTGTTTAGACTGTTCTTGTTAACAACCTGGACTCCGTCAGTTCCTTTGTAAGCGACAGTCAGTATCTGCATTATCTCTCCTTGGCTAATAGACAGTTTTGAACAAAGTGATAGATGTCATATGGTAGAGAGTTTCCAATGGCAGCACGAGCCCTTACATAATGGGCAACAAGATGCTTATCATCATCATCGAACTCGTGAATAAGTTTTTCGATCTTGTCACCATCTTCAACATGTCCTTCATAGGTTGATACATAGGAACATGATGGCATCATTAATAATGCTCAACATAGAATAATCCATGGTTTTAAGAACCATCATAGCTTTTGATTTCGACATAGAGAAATTCTTTTCATCAAATGGAGGGATTTTATTTCCTGATGAGGTTTTAGAGGGAATTGAAGAGGAGGAAGAATACATTGTTAATCTCAAAAATCAACCCTCTCTGATACTAGTTGTAGGTTCCCTTGATCTTATAACGATTAACAACTAGAATATTGAAATAACACAAAGAGATATCACAAAGATTTTTCACTAAGAGAACAAACATAAAGCTTTCTAGGGTTCGATAATCAACTAATGATGAAAACCTTAGTACATATAGAAAAGTAAAGATGTGTGAATCCCTACATTTCAAGAATATCACCTAATCTATGTAAATAATAGAATATATCAGATATCACTAAGATATCATATATGTTTACCGACTAAGTATCTATC